TGGTTTGAGGTCTGGCAGTTTGGAAGACGCACGGTCAACACGGGCCAACTGTGCCGGACAGTCGGATCCGTCGTCCACTTCCTCATTCCTGTGATCTCCCCTTTACCGAAGTCTTTCATTATTTTGTTTTTCGGCCCCCGGAGGCCAGAGTAGCCGTGCATTAGCGTAACCGCACAGGATATGCGTGCCGGGGACGTGTTTGTGTTTGCTGTGCATTGTGTTTTTATGGAACGAGATGATGAGACAGAAGAGGCCTCCGAAGGCTTAACGGCACATTTTGTTTTGGCTCGCTCTTCTGGTGATGTCAGTTTTGTTTTTTTTGCGACAACTTGTGAGAAACCAACACTAATCTGCCTCCCTCTGTCAGCCTCTTTTACCCTTTACCCCCGTTTTTTCTTAATCGCTTTTTTCCTACTTTTTCCTTCTGTTCCCATTTCTTTTCCACAGTCCCACCCACTTAAACAATTTAGAGCTTTGTTTTTCTTGCTTCTTGTATTTTATTGCAATTGGACCACTTCCCTCCAAACCAGATCATCCACTGACCAGCTTCTTTTTTGTCAACCTCGTGTTTTCTTTGTGGGTGAGACATTTTCATAAGACCTCTCGGGCTCCTTCTGTGTCTCTCACACTGTGGACCCAATCTCTTTTCCTTTTTGGAAATAATTTGGAGTCCACAAGTAAACTAAACCTAACATTTAAGCCCCCCTCGTCTCTCATTACGGATCTTTTCCCGCCGCAAGGGCACTGACACCCACAGAAGCCATAACTCTTTCACATCTACTTTCTTATTTTTTTTGGTTTTATAAGGGCATTGAGGTGAACATGTGAGAGGTAATCAGTGATTTTACTGATTCTTAACTGTGCATCTTAAAATAACATGGACTGGTATTGTAGGATTACTTTCAGCTGTATTTTGTAAATGTCTTTTTTAACCACCTTTCTAGTAGACAGTGAATGTGAATTTGTTGATTTTTTGGGTGGAATCACATAAAGACGCCACCAAAAATGTCAAGTGTCAACATTGGCTACTGTGGCACAATCCAAAAAGTATAAGATTGCAACTTTTCATCCAGTGTGATGTACTGTTTCTTATGGAGGTTCAAAGGAAACACGGAAATAATAACAGATTTACAGAAAAAAGAGATAAACCTGTCAGATCTTTTAAAGTGATAATTTACTTACATTTCAGCTTCCTCTGCAGTAAATATGCATACAACTTCTGATCAGTCTTGGTATTGCCATGATGCAGAGCAAAAATAAAGTAAGCCTTCTATCTTGTGTCACTTGGACTTCTGAAGTTCCAAAGTTTTAAAGGCAGATGCAACAGTCTGATGAAAAAATACGTCATATCATCCCTTCTTGTTTGTACTTTTCGGCTCTCTGTTGTTCCACTCTCTCCTCTACTTTTCAGTTTTGAGGCCTCATATTTCTTTTGGTAGCCTCGGCCCTGTTCACCCCTTCTTCGCTTTAAATGCTTGAAACCATCTGGCCTGAATATATTTAACTTCTTTTAGGACTAAAAATGCGTCCTCCCGATATTCTTATTCCCCTTCGGCTAATGCTGGACTGGAGTTTAAGCTCGGCTTTTGTCCTGCAAAACCTCCGTATAGTTTGATGTCATGCTGTGTCTTTTGGCATCGTCATGACAACTATGACTTGCTCCTGCAGCCTCCTCCATATTCAGTTCAGGTGGGTGGTCCATGCTGCTTTGATTAGCGGTTCGAGAGGACTGAAATATTGCATTCTGTGGACATGCGGTATTACAGCCCGACATCTGGGATTTATAGATGTCTGCAGGTCACAGCCAATCAGTTTTTATTTCAGCTGTGCATTGATTTCTCTGGGTTATTTGGGTCTTTTAATGAGATTATACAAAGTTAATGACAGAGTTTACGACTTTTAAATCTTGTTTTTAAAAAAGTATGTCCAAAGTTCGGCTTTTTTTTAAAGGCATCACACCTCTTTTGCTTTTTAACGCCCTGCAACGGCTTAATTTAAAGTCAAATCTGGGCTCATCTGCAAAACGAACTTTGTATATCATGAGTTTGTACATGTTATCGGTTTTATTTCCAAATGATTGCGTTCTGGGTTTAGGTTTTAAACAACAGTTTTTTTTAATGTAACGATGTACATTTCATGATGGAAGTTGCTTTATCTGAAATGCTGGAGCTAACCAGCATCAATGGCCGAAATCTCCATCCAATGACCCATGACGAATAACTTCTCATGCATAAAACTGTTTAAAACATTTAAATCATTTCAGGTATTGATACATGCTGTGCATTGAGCAGAAATGCTGATGAGTGTGGAGGTCAGGGGAGGGCAGAGAGGAAAAAAGTGGGCGGAAAAGCACAGAGGCACAATTCACACACACATGGTTCCAGTTAGCGGATTCCCAGTAAGGACAATTTGGTCTAGAAGAAAGTTTATATTTCACAGTCTAAAGGCATTTTTAAGACACTTGTGCCCGCCACAGAAAGTTCACTCACTTATTTAATTTTCATTCGGGTTCCAGTTGCACAGAAACCAGCAACTGAAAGCAACGACGGAAAAATAAACTGACAACTGTACAGGACAGAGTTGGTTTACACCAAATGGAATATACAGGGTAAGAAAACAAGTCCAAGTTTAACATCACCAGCTTGTTGTTTGTCAGACATGTACAGTAGTGGGTTAAAATCTTACTCCTGTATTGAAGTTTTGAATAGACATAATTCACACAAAAGAAAAACATGCATACTCAACATGTCAATCTTATGACTGTGATAACAGTCAGTCAAACTTTCCATCCAAAACTGGCAAATGGTAGTTTCACCAAAGTGGAACTTGATGATAAAGATCCCCAAAATGCTTTCAGCCAAAACTCACATGGAACTTCACACAAGATAGGGAAAGGAGGGAGAGATCGGGTGCCTTTGTGTCTGGGCTTTGAGTGTTTTTTCTTTTTTCTCTCTCCCTTTTTTTGTTTAAAAGTTCCCTTTTTCTTTTCCATGCCTAATTCCAAAGTATCATTAGATGAAAAAAAAGTGCTTTCACACTCATGGATTCATGGAAAGGGGAAACAACAAGGAGGCATTTGGCATAACGGCCAATATTTCCTCAGGTCCAAATTCGACCTGTGTATACAGAATACTGTGGCCCAAATCTAGCAAAGGTCTCGATGTCTCCCTAGTTCATACACCAGGTGTCAAGAGCCCTCCCCTGTGTCTGTGTTTAGCTTCATGTAGCTCCACTTTTGCGTGTACCCGTGTGTCTGTAAGGGTACGTGTTGCTAACGGCCTGTTAAGTTGATTTTGGCACCAGATGAAAGGGCTCGCGAGGTCTTGCATATTTTTGCTTTGAGAGAGAGAGGTGGGGGGCTAATTGCTGGTTCGGTATCAACTCCGTGGCGCTGTGGTCATTACAAACTGCAGCCCGACGTACAGACAGACAGACATCGCACAGCCGAGGAGCAGATTTTTAGCCGGGAACGCTCGACAAGTAAATCACATTTAATAACACAATAGTTCACATTCTTAACAATGGAGGTCTGCAATTAGCTTTTACAGGCCTTAATAAATCTGCACCCATGACACATCGTTTCCTATAATATGCTGAATTCTGTGGCAGCCACATGTGTCTGAAAAAATATGAAAATACAAGATGTTATTAAAATCAAACTGCTGGAGGGACATGTTGTAACCGATTTGCTTTGTATGCCGCAGATCAATAACTGAGAGCACCGTAAAGAAGTAGAGTCTTTAAGAGGTGAAGATAGACAAAGGTTCAGTAATTTGCAAAAATCTTTCACAACACTATTCAGAGGTTTTTACGCAATTTGAAGAAAAGCTTGGAATCAATGGATACTGCATTATTTTGACTGAGAATCTGCCAAAATGGTCCATTTGCACTTCTTTAAGATACGTTTTCAATTTTGAATCTGTCAACAGATTCAAGATTTGTAGAAGCTTTTCTCACTTTCTGTACATAACATGTCTCTCCAATGGTATTTAGGCTGAACATAAACATTGTTGCATACCTTTGGAATGTCTTTCACACCATTACAATTGTTTTTATCTTTTAACTGAAGACACAACAGTCAAAAGCCAAGTTCATGTCAAGAGTCTGGCTACATTTCTATCACAAAACAATATTTCGAAAAACAAAAAAAGTACATAGATGCTGACTTTCAGGATGATCAACACAGATTATCCTGGGGATCATCACCAGGGCAGTCAAGTCATTATAAGTGACTCAAAAAATCCCCAAAAAACTTAAAAAATCCAAACTGTAAGGGGTTGCCACGATGCGTCCGACTCGCCTGGGAGGGTTTTGCCAGGAATTTAATCCCAAATGTCCTCCCTGACACAACCCTGGCATTTATCCAGGCTTCGTCCAGGAGTTGCCGGCAACTGGGGGTTCAACGTCTTACCCAAAGACGCCCGGGATCAAACCCCTGCCCCCAGAGCCAACTGCCCTGATATGCATCACATACATTACATACAATTCAAGTAACACGTGTATCCATTCATAAGACCCCTCCATTCGGTATAGGTGGGTCCAGAATTTAGATAAGTAAAAAATAACCTGATTTAGTATGCTTTCCAAAATAATTTCTTTAAAAAAAAAAACCAACTCTCTTTACTGGCCCATAGCAAAGTCAGATAATGTTTCTTCTTGCTGACTTCAGGCAAAGAAAATGTAATTCAGTCCGACAGCCTTTATGGACAAATCAGGTCTAATGTGGCCCAAAAAACCTCTGTTGGGTTTTTTGTTTCAGGTGTACAGTTTTCAAGCATGGTTACAAAAGACCCCTCAAAGAACTCTGATATATAGGACATGTTATTTGCGTTTATGTATCTACAAAATGAACCAAAGTTCATACAAAACACTTATGTATGTCTCATTCTCCACCTCGCAAACCATTTGGATACAAACAGTACAACACATGGAATAAATAGGGAGTGTATATATATATATATACACAAAGCACAGTTTTTTAGTGGTATGCGTTTTCCTCACAGCTGCTGCTCCCCAAACATGATCTGAGCGTACACGGTCCCGCTCCGAGATGCCTTCGTCTCTGGAATCGGCTTCACCAGGTCCAGCTCCGCGTACGTCAGATTTTCCTCCACGATCCTCGGCTAGAGGGAAAGAGGAGAAAGAGAAAACACCAAAATATGGTGAAGGGGGAGGGGCTCGGTGGTGAGAGAGGAAAGCTTGCACGAAAAAAAGAAAAAAAGGTTTGTGGTCTGGTAAATGTAAGCTGGCTTTGCACAGATGCCACCTAAGAGGGGTCCCGAGTTAAGAGGGGGGGGAGAAAGACAAGACATCTAAAAACATTTGTCAGCATTTTATGCCATTGAAATCCCCATTCCTGCTAAGTTTCCACTAAAACTGTTCTTTTTCATCCCTTTCCTTTGTGTTTGGACAGTAGCAATAGTGGCAGAGTCATATGGAAACATGAAAAAGTTAGCGGTTCACGACACTTCACATTTAAATTGTGGATGAAAACCCACAAATAAAGAGACATTAAGATTATTGACAGAAAATCATCTATGCAAACAGCATGAAAAGTTCATTGTACTCACCAATACTAATTTCCTTGGTTGAGGTTTTAATAGTTTGGTTTTGCGTGATTTGTCTCCAATGGGAGCTGCATGGACAAAACAAAATCAATTCACTTTACTAAGGTTTAGAAGTTATATGTACGTCTACGTGTATTTGTGTATTAACCTGTATGATAAGAGGCAGACTTTTTTTAAGATCATGTGAGCTTTATCACAGGAAGTTTTTCCTTGCCTGTGTCGCCTAGTGCTTGCTCATGGTGGGAATTGTTGGGTTTCTGTAATTAACTTCAGAGTAGGGTTTGACCTGCTCTGTTTGGAAAGCGCTGTGAGACAACTGTTGTTGTGATGTGCACTATATAAATAAAATTTAATTTAATTTAATTCAATTTAGAATAAAATGGTCACTTAATTAACCCAAGGAACGGTGAACTTATTAGGCTCGGTTACCTTTTGCTGGTATCTCTGGTGGTATCTCTTCCTGGTAGTCTCTGCTCCTTTTCTTTCTGTACCTCCTCTCTTTCTTTGGAAGGGCAGGGGAGACGCTGACCACACTGGTGACCGTCTCCCCCGAGCTGGAGTCAGACCAGAGTTACAGCGTCATTGCAAGGAAAATAATAGAATCGTTAAGGGATTCAGCTATTCTGCTCAAAAATCTGACCTGTTCTGAGGACTTTTGACCAAGTGGTAATTATCTGTGGAGATACAAGATGTATTTATGTTTAGGTGGGAGGAGAAAAAAGAACGAGAACACAGTGAGAAACGTTGATGAAAGAGGAGAACAGGTTGGAAACACAATGATGCTGAGTCGACATCCGGGTTCCTGCTGACCTTTTAGCCTCTGCTTCCTCTGTATGAACTGGCAGGTTACCGTCACGGTGAACATGCACATGCACAACAGACCCACACTGCAGATCAGTACCGCACACAGGTACACATCTGAAACACACAAATATGAACGCAAGAACGTCAACAAAACAACAACCACGTGCGTATTCTTTCATTTTACGATAAAATAAACTGGGGACTAAAAGAAAAAAGAAAGAAATAGCTTTCCTTTGCTATTTATAGGCTATGTTAGTGTATCTTTTGGGTTGGGCTATTTTTGTGCAGCACCACAAAAGTGCGCACACAGAAAAAAAAAACTAAAGATATCTCGACTTACCTTCAAACAAACTCCAGAGGCTTTCTTTGGCCTTGGTGGGCGGTAGAACATGCACTGCACAGACAGAAAAGGAGAGAAGACAAACACGTGAAGTTCGTATTCATCATTGTGGCGTCTTTGCTGTCTGATTACACACTGTCGAGAGTTTAAATAAAGCTAATTGTAGTAGGACGAGCAGCCAAAGTTAGCCTACTCCCCGCCCGACTGAGTCTCTGATTCACAGTCCACATGGCCTAAACTTTGCCGAGCAACTATCTCATTATCGAAGACGTCACGATAAACTTAACCCACACTCTCCTTGTCTTTCAGGAACTCCTTTTGTTGTGTCTAAATTTTATACGACATGACTGTTTTTGAGTAGTTTGCACAAATATGGCTGATTTTGAAAATATCAGAGCAGGAACATTCTTTGTCACAGACTTTTTACTCAGACAATAACATTATAATGACCTATATTGGCAACTTTAGACATAAAATTAGTTACAGAGCTGAGTTCAGCACAGAACTGGGAAAAAATACAGTCCACATCTGGCCCTTTGGACATCCCTGTCCGGCCCGTCATAAATTAACACCGTAGTGAGCTCCGGGGGGTTCGAAAAATGCTCAGTTTGAAAACACCAGGACATGAAAAAGATAAGCAATATAATCCATGAATTTTGACATGTGTCAAACCTTATACCTACAGTCACTGTCAGAATTTATCAGATGTATCTAAAAAGCCAGTAAAAAAAAAAAAATTGAAATTGACTTTTTGTTTTTGAAGCAAGTTAACATTAAATTGAAACTAAAAAAAAAAAGATAAGATTTTATTACAGACAATCGCTACTCTCCTGTCTTGGCTTAGATTGTTCTGCAACAACAACTGGTGTGTCTATGTGTTTTGTTTGTTTGATCTTGGTACGGGCTGTACTGGAAGTCAATTTCTCCCTGGAGATCAATAAAGTATATTCAATTCAATTCAATTCAATTCAAATTCAACATGTGCATTTTGACGTGTTTCCAGCAATTGTTTTTAAGGGTTTTGTTAGTCATCATTTGTGATCAACGTGGCACAAAAGTTTTAATTGCCATTCCAAAAGAAAAAAAAAATCTTAACAAAAGACCAAAAAAATAAGAAGATGGAATTAATGGAATTATTAGAAGCTTGATTCAGAAATGACAGCTGACTATGTTTTCTTACCACCAACAATGGCTTTCTTGGGGATTTATATTTACCAGTATAAGTGAACTATGAAGCCATAAATGGGTTACTTCACACACAGGGACACGTTAAGTAGAGTCATTAAAATACTTTAAAAAAAAAGTAAAACATCAGTGCCAATAGGAAATAAAGTTGTGTGCAATGAAAATTCCATCTATGTGCTGTGAGTGTCCAAAGTGACATTTAAAACGTGTTTTCCCACGATCGACGTAAAATTTTTGCCTCCATCCCATCTGACCACAGGAGATTTAACACTCATGCTGCACTGGAGGCAGGAAGCTTGTCGAGAGACACCCACCGGGACGTCTTGAAATACGCAAAACCACCGGCAGCTCGACTCCACGCCCACCGGAGTCTTTCCCACAGGCCGACTGGCCGACTGACAAACCAAAAGGCCATGCCAGCAGTCATGCCTCCCATGATGCACACATTAAAATATCTTAAGGTGGATGGACGGCGGAGAAGTTTATTTCCTTCTGGTTTTGGAGGACACCAGGAAGAAACTTAAAAATTAAAGGACATATTGAATTGTATTAAATAATCTGAGCAAAACGTCCATATTGCAATTCACCATTGCTGAAAATGTTTGTAGCCAATGGTAAGGTTCAAGTAAAAATTAGATCGGTCAAACACATATGACCGTTGGATGGTATTTTGAAAAGTTTCTTAATTTGAGGAAGGCTAGATTTTTACCAAGGAAATAAAATGTTTTTTTAAGCAAAACACGCTTTGTACAATTTCAAATTGAGATACTAACAATTACATAAGTAAAGATAAGTCAAGATAAGCATTACAACTTTAATATATTTTGTACTTTCTATATTCAGTGCAATATTTGCTTGGGCTGGGCTCAGTTGAGGGACCATGACAGCCATGAGAAAGTAAGAAAAACAGGCTTTTATCAGTTACTGATGTCTTATTTTTTCCCAGACAGACTGCCTTTTTTCAGTCTTTAATTATATTTCTCACCACTTGTTCACACGTTTTTTACATTGAAGATTGAAGGAACCAATGCTGATTTACTTTGGTATTTGCCTCGCCAGTTATTTTGACAGAGTGATTTTAGCTTAGAAACCAGCAGAGGCCAAATGGATACTTCAGCTATTGGCTGGCAGGACTTGGCATCTTGGACTTAGTTAGGTTATTCAGCACCATAACCTTTCTTCTGTTGTTGAATGGGCATGCAGGAGGGGGTGAACAAGCATATTTGTGGATCCACATTCCACTTTTGAGACCATAAGAAGATTTGTCAGGTCTAAAAATCTCCAAATGTATTTTTTCTGAGGAAAAAACACGAGTCACAAATAGCTACTGGAGCAGAACTTCCAAGGAAGGATTGCTGCAATGAAATGAATGACACAATATCAAAAGAGAAGCACATTTCAAGAATAAAATTCAAATAAACATCAGTTGACATAGCCAGTAAGATTTCAGCATTGTGGCTACAGAGCAAGTTTTTTTAATGAGTGTAAAGCATTTGGAAACCATCCAGTATTGAACTTTGTTCACTTTGCCATGATGTAATTGAATTTGGCAAACAGCGGCAGATAAAGTTGTGAACATGAAGACGTTCCTCATAGTTTCTCCTTTGGTTTCAAATAGCAGATGGTTGGATATAAAGCCTTGTCTTTAAAAAAAAGATCACCAGAGTAAATCATGTTTACATCTTTGACGTTTATGGCTTGTTTTTGCTTTGGTGTCTGTGTGGCCCGCTCAGCAGTAAGTATGAATTTGATAAAGCTGCTGTCTTGGCCATGAAACTGTCTTTTATGGTACGGAAAAATGTCCTTCTTGTGACTCTTGCTTGTAAATGGCTGACGACAACACAGGGCAACTGTGACATAAACAGGAATTAATTCATCCCTTTTTGTCCAGAGGCACAGAGTTGTATTCAGTTACAGACTGTACTCCAGAATTGTGGCTTTTTTTTTTTTTGTGCTCAACACAGAAAACATCAATACAAATACATGGACTGAATAATGATCTACTGTTGCCGTGTTTTAAAAGACTGCAAATGAATGCAAGTACACAGCCTCATTGATAATCCACCCTCTAACTTCCTGTCGTGTCTTTTAATCTTTTTTTTATTTTCCCGGAATCAGCTGCTTATTCAATGAATAATTGTTCCGTTTGTCACTTTGATGCATAAACGGATCCATTCTGTTGAGCTGTAAGACAGTTATTGCTGCTTTCTTTAAAAAGGATTAGAAAAAAGTTGAAAAAGAGACGTGTGTGTGTGTTTCTATTTCGGTTTGAGAGTTGTTTCTGTGCTTAAACCCACGCCACATCCGTGTGCGTCTTGCCCACATGCATTTAAGGAATACCTTGGAGTTCAGTTTCCCTATGCCAAGAGGAAGCTGTTTCCACACTTCACACCGCCCGCCTCCTGCCTAAAGCAAACCTCTCTGTGGAAGTGTTTATTTCTGTAGTAGTAAGGGGAGTGATGGAGGTTTCTGTGAATGATACGGAAACACCTGGCCACCTGATGTTCCCCCAAACCAAAAAATCCCATAATTCTGTCAAAGAAAGCACGAACACACAAGCAGAAAAAACACAAACGTGCACGTAACGGCGTCTAAAGCCGGGAACAGAGGGGTCTCCTGGGTGGTTTGAACCATTAAAGTGTCCTGCTGAAGTTTGCAATAGATGTTAGGGTGTAGTGCAGATGGTGAGCAGACGTTACCCCCCCCCCCCCTCTCGCTCACAGGCCAGAAAAAGAGCAGTTTTCCTGTGTTTAGAAAATCCGAATTATAGTAACCCAAAAGGGATCTGATTCTGCTTATTTGTTCTCCAAAGCTACTGATGGGTCTTTTACTCAAATGATAGTTTTCCAGAGTATTTCCTTGGTAAAATGCTGTTCCTTTGTTTGATTTTCAAGTTCATCACTTGGGGTTAAATGTTAAATAATAAACACACAAAGCTGCTCGCTGAACGCTTCCATAAACAGGAATCTCATGAAATGATAAATGAATGAGAAAGGCAAACAAACATGAGCTGCCTGTTCGGTCTTCAGAATAACTGGATACATTCAACCAGGCAAAGGAAAGTTATAAATTGGAGCATTCCCGTTAAAATTTTTATTCCCAAGATGTTATTGGTCATAAACAGAAAGTATGATTTTTACCCCATCTGCTTAATCAAAACTGTAAATTAGTAAACAAATCACACCAATGTTAATAACCCTACCCTAGAATGTCTTAACAGGAAGTAATTAAATGGAAAGTGAAAAATGCTTAATCAATTAATGGATATAGAACCCTTATTCATGAGTGCAATCAGTCAAGTGGACACGGAATGTTTATTTTACAAGGAAATTAGAGTTCCCTGTCGGCTATTGTGAGATACGACAAGGAAACGTTAAGGGGGGGGGGTTGTGGGCTACAGTGGGGTCCATGTGACACGACAACAGGGGATATGAGTGTCTGAACACTCTGGGAAATGAGGGGAATGAAAATTAGGGGATGCCCAGGACCAAAACACAGCACCAAAAGAAAAATAGAAGCCATGTAAGATACAAGCAGAACCAATATCAATGAAGCCAAAGCTCAAAGCGAGAAAATACGATGGTATATCCTGTTCTGATTTTCACCATTTGTGACAAGAGACTGGTCAGTGTCAAATGTCTGAAAACTGGCAGTATGACACCTACAATCAACATCACACCCCAAGTACATCAGTGAGTTATAACCAGCCAATCCCACTCTCCGTTTAAAGCCCGATCCAAGAATAAAAGGAAGAATATTGGATTTTTTTAGTCTGAAGTCTTTCTTTGGCCCCTCAACAACATATGAAGAAGAAAAAACTGAAATCAGTTTGATCAAATTAGCGTGCAATAAGTAAAAAATATATTT